AAGAGGCCTCCCAAACGGCGTCCGAGCAGATGGGGTCCGAGGATCGTGCCGCATCGCCGACGCGTCGCCCATGCATCGGCGACGTCGGCTTGGAGCACACCGGGTTTCACACCAAGCCGCATCGCCGATACATCGGCGATGCCGCCCGATGTGGAGCCCGATGTGCGGGCCCACCTGGGCGGCCCAGGACCTGGGACCAGAGCGGGCGCAGCGCGCCCAATCAGAACGCCGCCATCCACCCGCGGGCTCCAGCGCCACCTCTTCCAGGTGCTTGTCGACGCGTCGTGGCGAAAAACATCTTTGCAACACACACTCATCAGCATGGCGATGTCTTTGTCGTGTCTTCTGCCTCTGCCTCAGCTCTGCGCTCGCTGGCAATCTCAAGGTAGGTCGTACAGGCCTGTGGTCAGAGCCCAAGGGTGGGTCACGTACCGGCACCCGCGGGTGTCCACAGGAACACAATCGACTTGTCGCGGCTGGCTACAGCTCATGCGTAGTTCGCTGGAGCGGATGCTTGGAGAAGAGTGTGGTCGTTGTGATGAAGTCGAACTGCGAACACCATTGCTTAAGCCACTGGCCCCTCCAAGCTCCTATCCCGAATCCGTGATATCATGTTGTGCTGCTCTCGTCGTCCTCAATTATGCTTCCAGTTTGTGCGGTAAACCGTCACCATCAGAACAAAGTGTTCTTCATTGTTTCCAACTTTCCAACTTTCTTGTAGACAGTGTTGTGTAAACGTGTTGCACATCCACGTCCCCGTACGTGCGATCTGTGAAGAATATGAAATTCTAGACGCGTCGCGCAACCCCACCAGCCCATCCAGAAACGATGCCCAGAGGAATTGCCTCGATCAGGGAAGTGGGCAGCACACAGAGGAAAAGTCCCCCAGTGGAGGCCTCATGGGGCGTCTTGGGTGCCTCGGAGAGCTTCTTGGGGCCTCTTGGGGGCTCTTGGGAGCATCTTGGAGGCCTCTTGGGCGCCTGTTGGGGCCTTCTTGAAGCGCTCTTGGGAGCCTTGGGAGCGCTCTTGGGGCCATCTTGGGGGACATCGATCAAACAAGAAGCGAGCATTAGTTAGCGCTGCCCCTCTGGAGCCCAAACAATCGCCTCTTGGGGCGCTCTTGGGGCGTTCTTGGAGCGCTCTTAGGCGCTTTGGGGGCCTTCTTGGGGCTCTCTGGAGCCTCTCTTGGAGCCCTCTTGGGCCATCTTGGAGCCATCTTGAGGCCTTGGATGGCAATCGGAAGCGAAAAGGCGAGAAAGCCAAACACATAGAAATTCCTAAGGTGTGGGCCTCTTCGGGGCCTCCTGGGGGAGCTCTTTGGCCACTGGGAGCCGTCTTGGAGCGGTGTTTGGGC